GCTCCATTCTGCTTTGGAGCAGGACCTGACCAATACACTATTTGTCTCTTAGGGTGATGCTGTCTGTAGTGGGAGCAGTTATTGGAATTGTGGATTTAGCGGGGAAGGTGTTAAAGTACTTATTTGTGGAGAGAAAAAGAATTAAAGGAGGGAGAGAGAAAGAAGTGAGGAATGGAGAAAGGCTGAAGAGAAAAATTGTAGGAGGGCAGTTGGGAGAGGACCTGAATGGTGAGCTTACAAGAAGAAGGAGAGCATCCAGAGCCCCAGCGTAGAGAGCATTAGGATGCATACACAAAGACACAGATCGTCCTAGCTGGTGAGCAAGCCACCACCTCGCCTATCTTTTCCTCTCAGTGGGTGGCTCTTTCTTTTTCTCTCTTTAAAGGTAAGTCTGCAACATTGATCCTAGCATTCAGGAGTTCATCCCTATATGGCCCTTGCTCTGCAAGATACTGTCAGAAACATGTCTCACCAAATAATCCTTATCTCCCCAGTCTGCTTCGTTTTCCACAGTACCTGCTAAGGATGTTAATTGGTCTTTTCCTGATTTGATGGCAGTATGTAGGGCTTGCAAAAGAAAATCTAAGCACCAACAGTGCTAAGTCCTGATTTGAGCTGGACTTGCACTTAGGCAGCTGTTTTGATTGTGAATTATTACCCAACTTCATATTCTATCATTGGCTGCAAACCTTAGCTGATCCAAGTCTCCTTTGCTTCAGTGTTAAAACAGTAATACCTAGGAAGACAGGAATCTCACTTCTGAAGAATTTGTCATGTCAAAAGCATAGAGGATTATGTGTATACATATTTGCATGCATTTTTTTTACATGCATATATTTTGTATAGATTGTTTCACATATCTTCGTTTGTTCCCTGAGTAGCAGCTGTGCAATGTTAATTGCTTATAGTTTGCAAGTGCAGTGAGCAGATGACCGTTAAGTCAATCTCCCTTACTGTTTTTGAATCCTCTGTTCTCTAGACTTAGAGCTTTTGGGTGTTATTTGGATTTCAAGAATCTGAGTGAATACAGTTAGTATTTGCTGGAAATTTGATGGATCTGTGAAAAAGGAATACAGGCTGGAATAAGCCTCTTGAAGTTCAACTGCGTAAGGCCATGCAGATAAGGGAAGCAGTTTGAAAACTGCCTCTTTGGAGGCAGCATGAACATTCTTCTGATCCTCATTCAGATGTGAAGCCCTTGACTTAATGGGAGCCTGGCCTGAACAAAGATGGGAAGATGGAGTCCATTATGCATAAATATGTGCTTGCCCACACACAGATTTTATTAGATATTTTACACAACTCAGTGTGGTATATTTGTGCAGTTATGCCTTGATTGAGTGCTAATTGTCTCTCATTACTTTGTACAGATACTGAGAATGTTATTGAAGATACAGACTTGTGTATGAGCTTCTATATATAGGGGCAGGTGTTGTATGCATATATGTATATAGTCAGTTACAACATCTATTTTAGCTATCTTGTGTGAAGCCATGTCAAACAATGTGCTAGGTAATGGGTCCACTAAGTATAAAACTCTGACTCAGTTCAGTTACATTAAAAATTTATTTGAAGCAGAATGTCTTGAAGTTACAGTGATGAAATATTTGTAGTCAATTTTCTCATTGTCTTCCTTTCCTCCCATTTTTGTTTCTCTATCCTGAAATTTGGGAAGGTAGCTCTTGAAAAAATTCAAATAAAGCATCATTTTGTTCAAATAAAAGATGTGACAGTATAACAAAATTTTTTGCCTGTAGCTCGTATTAATCAGATAAAGTATGGTGTCAAAGTCTGGCAATATTCAGATAAGAACAGAACCTCAATATTGGCACGTCATCATATCTCCTTGGAATTACTTCTAGTGTATGTAGGCAGGAGGGAATACAAGAATGGAAAATATTATTTTAATTACCATAGCCATTCTATGTTTATGTAAGCAAACTAAAACAAATGCACAGATTTGATAGCTATTGTCTTTGTTTCATATGTACAACACCAGTTGTACCGAGTAAATAAAAGGTACCAAATTAAATGTGGGTAAAGTATTGCTTTCGACTATTACTGACTGAAATCATTTGGCCTTTTGCCTTGAGACTTGGAATTGGCAATGAGCCTTTGGAACCACTTACACCTGGGGCAGTGGCTCTGATGTTTGCCAACGTTAACAACTACTTAATGCATATCCTACAAGACCTGTGGCCAGAGGGCTCTGCTGTTTCGGGGGAATATTGGAATGAGCAAAGAAATACCAGGAGCTCACTTCTCTTGCAGATGTGGGTTAAAGATATCTCTGTGGCTCAAATTACTGCTATCATAGGAAGTACTTTCCACTAATAGGTTGCAGGTCTTCCTTAAGCATAATTTTATAAAACTGCCTGCCATAGGACAGATATAAAAACTGTTAGGGCCTCTATCATAGCTGTGGTTACTGACTTCAGTGGGGCCCTGTATGAAATTTCAGTAATATCAAATATGAAAATTAATGTAATTATTATAGTGAAGAGCAGAAAAATATTCTAGTTAAATATAATCAGGAAGCATATGTATTGACTTGCTTTTATAACTGTGATAGACTTGCTAAAAAGTTGTTGAAAAGCTACCTTCTAATAATAACAGACTATTTATAAAACAAAATGACAGCTCCCAGGGCGACAGGAGCAGAGAGTAAGGAAAGAAAGGAGTCATGCAATATCCAGAAGAAAGGTTTTTCCATTCCTGGTTGTTGGGGGTGATTTTAGTCATTCCCTCAGGATGTTATTGGGTTCTAGACATACCTTTTTTTTATCTTCCATTACCTAAAAAAGAAGAGAGGAAGGGAGAACAAGGATGTTCCACCAAAACAATAAAAAAATTATGCCATCATTAGTAATTTTGTTTCTTGAGCTTAAAGGATCCAAAAGACTGAACATAAGCACTTTGTCAGCTGATCAAACATAAGCTTAGTTTATGAATGCTGTCTTTCTAATGTGTACAATGAAATGATTTAACAGTGCAGATTATTGATTAATATTATTTTGGAATGCTTAATCCTTCATCTTGGTTACTTGTTTGTTTTTACTAATAAGCTATAATTAAGCAGTCTTTCAGGTAACAATGTATACGTTTCACTAGTGGTTTAAGTGTTAAATATTGCTTTCTTCTTTTCTCTGAGTTTTATTGTTGTTTAAAGCTTGTAAAATTTTATGTATTCTGCTAATCTGCAAAACTTGCAAATTTACACGTTCCTGCAGCAGTTCCCTAACTGCATGCTTATTTTCATATCTGTTTGATGTATCTCACACTGTGATATGTTGCATGTGCTTGCTCCCTTTGTCTGGAGCTGGTGTCTGTATTGTTTTGTGCTTCCAGATAGCGGTGGGTGTGCTCGCAAACGTGCTGCAATGTCTGTCACATTAACAGCTGTGAAGAGAGTTCAGAGTTCTCCAAACCTATTGGCCACAGGTATAACCACTAACCAGGGAGATGCTGCTCCTGAATGGCTTTTCTATAGTGTTATCCATTCCTGCAATATTACTCTGCAAGGAGGAGAAGGGTAACCATATTTTCTATTCTGCTGACAGGTCTGTTACTTCTGCAATGCTCTTTAAAAAGTAGTCTTAATTTCTCTCTGCCTATGCTTAGTAGCCATTAATGAAAAAAAATTAGGAAGACTTAGGAAAAATCAGTTATTTGTGACTTAATTTTGCTTTTGGGTCTCATGTCCCCTGGTTTTTTCAAGCTAACATAGCGTGAAAAGTAGGTTTTGTTTATTACAAACTTTGTTTATTACACTTGCTTTAAAAACTCTTCTCAAAGGAGAAAAATCTGAATGTTGTAAAATGATCATCAGAAGCCAGATTAACTCTAAAAAAAATCATTTCTCAAGCATGTTTTCTTAAAAATGTTTAAAACAAAAACATGCAGAATATTGCAGGCAGAACTGTTTCTTAGCAATACTCATGTCTGGTGGTGTAAACTTAAATCTTAATGGGTATCAGCTGTCCAGGTTCACTGGTAGATGAAGTAATTGTACGTATAAATCAGTAAAGAATCATGAGTTAATTTACACCAATCTGAACATGCAGAGTTCAAACAAGCATAATACAGGAAGCTGAATAAAGAATGAGCCAGAAAATAATTGCAAGATAAGTCTTTGTTTAGTAGATCTTTTCAAATATAAGACTAATCCCCAGGAATAAGAACTGTTAGAATTTATAAAGCAATTTAAAAATTTCGTTGCTACTCTTTGTAAGGACAGTGGAAGGGTTTCTGGGATTAGTGTGTGTATGTAATTCTAAGAAAACATTGGATTCATATTTCTTAGCAACCCTTCTAAAAAATTTTTATCATTTGAGCATGCAATACAAGCCTCTTAATGTCTTGCTTTGTTGCACTTAAAATTAGTGATGAGTGCTCATAGTACTGTAATTATTGTACATTAAAATAATTTGTTTAGAGATGTTGTAATTTTAGTTTCTTTTGGAGAAAAAACACTGATATATCTACAAGTAATCCAAAACCCCACCAGAATTTCAAATCCATTCTGCGCTGGCAGTATGTATGTATCAGTTTCTGTGTTTTGCTTTGAAGTGATGAAGAAAGCATCACACATTCTGGTGTGAAGGGAGAGAGAAAATTCTGACAGAATCTGTAGGCATCTCTCTTGGTTTTGAATTAAATCTTTCCAGTTCATCTTAAAGGAATGATATTGCTTTTGATATCTAGATTTTAGATGGTAATATCACAGTATTTACTGGGGTAAAAAAACACAGCAAAGTGTTTATTATTAGCGGTCTGAAATAGCAGTGATTAAATAACAGTAACTCTTAACACACCTTAACCTTCTATAGAACTTGTGCAATAAACATTGCAGTTATCTGTGGTCTAATATTCTGAAGTGTGCTTAGGTAACAGGAGGGAATTAGGTAACTGAAGAAAAAGATTCCTACATATTTTTCAAGTTGTGTCATATTGGGTTTTTTCTAACACAGATTAATATTGTGTGTATCTTTTTCAGGGTCTGATTCTCAGTCTCCAGATTCAGGTAAATAAAACACTGTGTTATTTGTGCGTCAGTGTAATACCATGTAAGTGGATGAATTATAACAATTTTCCATTTATTTTATTTCATTACATCCACATTCTTTAAGGAAAGCACCACTGAAATTGTAATAATAATTGCAGTAACCACTGTTAAGACCTCAAATTCAGGTCTCATTTGAAAGCAGTATTTCCTATAACACAGTATATGATGTCAGAAAATGAATTGTGTGGGAGAATACAGACTGCTAATTTGCCACCTTTAGCTTCAGTGGCATTTGCTATTTCATTTTTAGTCCCTTACTCAGGCTTGCAGGGTCTGCCCACCCGACTTAGCAGCCTGCTCACATAACGTGTTACTTTTCCCAACCTCTTACGATATTTTGTCTTCAAATCTGTAACTTGTTGAGGCCGGATAGTATCTCCCTCTATGTTTGGACAATGCCTTGACAGCTTTTCAGTTCGGAGGATAGAGACAAAATATGGTTGCTTGGTTGGAAAATTGAGGTATCATTCAGATTTGGAAATAAGATGCATTATCGGAACAGTTAATGGGGTATTGTGATGAAATTTGGTGGAACTGCCATGACCAACTAACTTATGTGAGCTGAGATGTTTTGCAAAATCCAACACAGCTGTGAAGTTCAAGAACCTAATCTGTGAAAGCACCTCAGCCTGCTTTATACAGGGGCTGAAGCATCAACATCTCAAAAGGACTCCTGAGGTTAAAATCCATAGTCTGTATGACTGTTGTGGGGAGATATCAAACTGCTACCAGCAGTATTGTCAATGCTTGAGTTTTCTAAATTTTAAAGATAAATATTTTGTAAAGTGGCAGTTTTAGCTCTGTTCTTATAACATCCATGGTGACAGCAGCAGCAATGTCTGTTGTGTAGTAGCTAAACTTTTCCACACACTGTTTAATATCTGGATTGCTGTAATGATAGCAATATAGAGATCTACTAATCACAGAAAAAAAATGGTTTGATTCTTTTTTCCTTACAAAAGCTTGGAGATCTTACAATGATGGAAGTAGAGAGACACTGAATGGAGATGCTAGCAGTTCATCTCTTACAGCAAAAGGTTTTAGGAGCGTGCGGCCAAATCTACAGGATAAAAAATCACCAACTCAGGTAAAACTGAACACACCAAGTTTCATGCTTTGGCATTTGTGTGGGGGTTATTCTAGGGGTATAGCATATATAGATGGGATACCTCTATGGAACGTTGTCCTGATATATCTTCCAGATAGTGCGAATCGCCTGTTCACATGGGTTGTTACAAACACTTTTACTGCATAGATAAAGTACACTCCATAGAGGATGCATGCCTCCAGGTTAATTACCAGAAATTGCTTTCAATGAACAAGCAGCAAGCTAAATAAAAGTAGGTCATACACAAATAAAAGCTTTCTAGGAGTGTTCCCAGATTTCAAAGAGTATTTATTAATATTTTACACTTGGAGAAATGCATCTGTCATCAAAATAATATCTGAGGATAAAGGTTTATTATAGGTAAACAATGTTTCTGCCTGTTTTGCAGAACAATATAATTAGAGTACACTAAAACCCCCACACAACTTGGAAACATATTCATCTGTCTAAACCAGATCAACATACTAAGGTCAATACTGTCTCCGTTACTATTTTAATTCAGATGTTTAAGAGGCTCTGTGTTTTATATATGTGTGTTAGCTGTGAATAATAGCTTGTTATGTAAGATCATGGAGTACATTTTGGAAACTACTTGCATATCTGAATGATTTCACAGTAATAATTCTTATTCAGTGTAATAATTGTGGTTTTTTAAAAGAAAATGGACTATTGTGGGCTCCTTTCTGATCCCAGTTTAGTCTGAGCAAATGGAACATCTGGCTTTCTAAACACAAGCTGTACAGCCCTGCACAGCAAAAGATGGTGGGAACCTGACCAGTTCAATTGTCCATTGAATTGAGCAATGTTGGGATGAAGCTAGTTGCTTTATTTAAAGCTAAAAGTCAAACTGAGTTATATCTCCTGCTAACATTTACTTTCTTTCTGTTTCTTCTTCAATGTTATTTTGCTGTGTGTGGATGCTTTTGGCAAATAAGGCACCTCTGCCACCCCCTAGAAAAGAAAGCTTTCAGAAAGCGAGAGTAACTAATCACAAGAATGAAATTAATCTCCAGGCAGTAACAACTGATCCAGCTAAACACATTCCCACAGATACTGCCTATTACACTAACGAGAAGTCTGTCCAGAAGACGATGTCTTCTGAAATACCTAACACAAGTGTGTCCTATGCACAAAAAATCATTAAACCATTGACCTCAATCTCCAGTGCAGGCACAAGCACAGTAGCTGGTATTAGTACTACTCTCCATCAAGGCCACAGGCAACAGTCTCAAAAACGTAGGGTATCTACCCTGAAATTAACCCGGACACGTGACCCAGCGAGTAGCACTCATTATAATACACAGCAACAGCTCAAGCCTGTTGAAGTGCCAGTATTTCCGCAAAGGCCTGTCTCACCTGCCTGTAACCCCGTGCCTGAGATACACACAGCATCTCTTTCCATTCAGATAGCTCCCACCCCTGACAATAAAGCAGAGCCTGAAATCCAAGAACATCCACCTAATATTTCTCCAGACACTTCAAAGATGTCTTCAAAGGATTTGGGACAAAAGTCTACAGTTCTTCCTTCTTCACAGGCTGCAGAGTGCCATGTGGTATATTTAATTTTTCCATCTTTTATTTTAGATCATTCATGAATCACTTAATAACCGTCTGTTTAGTTATACTTACATTATCAAAGTTAGACCTTGTGTTTTCTGGGTAAAACTACCTGTCACATGGATCAAAACAGAACTGAACAAAATCTGAAGGTTTTTTGGAAGGGTATTACAAAAAGAAAAAAAAAATTACCCCAGCTGAGCTGGAAAGTAGACTTCTTTTTTCCCCTGTGAGCACTTTATTGAGTGCAAGTGCACAATAGGAAAACAGTGAATTGCAGGTGATGCTTCTGATTAAGTGGCTCTTCCTAGAAGGGGTTGCAATAAGGGGTTATGCTGCCATAGGTGCTGGAAGGATCAAGTATGGATGGAAGAGTGTTGGGTTGGGGTTCTACAATGCAGCTCTGCCAGCTTGCTAGGATCACCAAAAATGTATATTTTGTCAGTCGGTGCTTTCTGCAAAACCGTTGTCTCCTATGTGTCCTGTGCAACTGTGCCTTTTAAAGAAAATGTGTTGATAAAATCTGTTGTCAACCACCGGGAAGCATCAGAAGGCACTGCTTTTAAGTCGCTCTGTTTCCCCTATACCCTATGCCTTCTGAGATGAAAATTCTTTGTTAACTATACTGATCTTATCTAGGAGAAATGGGAGCATCAAGCACACGGTATAGGACTGGAGGAGTCTGAGCAGGGTTTACTGCCATTCAGAAAGATACTGAATCAAATAAAATAAGCCTGAGAGCAATAGAACAACAGCGAATACATACTAGGTAAAAGGGGAGCTCTGAATAAACTTTGTCATTTCTACCCTGCTTTACCTACCACGTTAGGATTTTTCTATTTAATAAGTTAATTATGCTAGTATATCAGCTTATCTGAGTTTGAAAGCCCTTCAGTTGGAGGTAGGGATTGTTATAAACCTAGGCATATCTGCCTCAAAGCTTTGTCTGAGCGAGGATCCCACCATGCCGTATTTGTGTTCAACCGGTTCTGCTGAAATTATTGGGGCTACTCTGAAATAAATACGATCTTGCAAACTTAAAGTCCATTGACAGTCCTATTGTCAATAGTAGTAACACATCTGCTCTCTCATACTGTGGTTCTTTCAGAGCATCAAATTCAACCAGGTCTTTACTCTGGAAGCCACAAGTATCTGCATTAGGGGTTGTAATATGTCCATTGCCTCCTTCAACTCCCAAGTAAAAATTTTAATCAGAACAAGCTCTGTGAAATTATATGGCAACAATTTGCAGTGCTCCTTTTGAATTCACTCCATTGACAAATGGGAGCACAGAAGAATTAATCAGATTTGCCCTTCTCAAGGTTAGAGAAAAAACTACCATCTTAAACCCTTCTGTTAGGCCACATAAAATTTAGAACATTTTGAGAAAAACAAGTTGCTTTACCCTTGAGAAGAAACAGATTGCTACTTAGTGATTTTTGTCAAGTAGAATGAGTCAATTCAAGCAAGAGCCGCAGTAAAGAAAACATGTCAGAAACAATAACGAAGGCTAAACAAGAGCTTTTTCTGGTAGATGGGCTAGGTATGAATATTATAGGAGGCAGGCTTGCAAGCATTTTAAATATGGACGTCAAGGGATATGGTCAGACAGTACAACAGGTGTCAGTGTGGCCAATACAACTCACGTGTCTATGTTTTCTTTTCACTTAAAAATAGTTGTTCAGCCAGTTAGCAATATGATGCATCCCCATTATATATGCTCAGATAAATCACAGTGTCTCTCAAACAGAAAGTAGTTTTATGACAGCTGACAAGAATTAGGGGAAATACCTTTTTTATGATCCAGAATAATACTTAAACTCTAATCAGAATGACTGAAAATAATTTATCTTCTAGCTCCTTTTTATTTTTTTAGAATTTTAAAAGTCAAAACACGTTTGTCAATTTCTTTCTGGTTTAGAATCTGTTTTAGTTTCACTATGAGCTGACAAAAGTAGCTATGACTTATTTGGCAATTCCACACTTTTTACCTTCCCAGTTTAATATGCAGGAAGAATGATCAGAAATTTGGCAACTGGGTTTCTTTGAATAAAATGCTAAAAACTTCAGCTGATCGCAGGGATCATTAAGAAATGTAACCAGCTTTACAAACTGCATCCATTTATTGATCTCTTGCCTGCAAAATTCAGCTGACATCCTCCCTGATCAACTTTTAAATAAATTCTTAACATTAGTATGAAGAGATGTATCTGGCATCACAATCAAGTCATGGAGCCAGTGGGCTTTGCTAGCTCTGCGTTAAAATAAATACCTAAAACTAGAGTACAAATCAGCATGTGTACACGTCAGTGGTGTGAAATTCTGCATCAGGTGGGGTCCCAAAGCCACCATGCCATGTGCTACAGTTAGAAATAAAGGCTACAGCTGTATGTCTAAAAAGATTTCTTTTCTGACCCAGAACTCTGATTGAAGTCTTCAAACTGTTCTAATGCCAAAACTGATGATCCCCTTTAGCGCTGTATCTCATGGTATTTGCAAAGTTCACAATTTTTCTCACATAGACAAAATATCTTTCAGTATACTATGAGTGATAGTACTTTAATTTTTAAAATTGTTTTAGATTTGCAAGCTCTACAAGACTTTGTACACCAGTTAAAATACTTTTGTATATGCAGCATAGGTTGTTATGTTAAGCTATATCCTCTAGGGATGCTCTCAGACTGTAGATTAGGCCCACCAGCAATGTTCAATGCTGCCACAGAAACTCTCAAAACCCAAGTACGTTTAGAAAGTCACTGTAAAAACAAAGTCTCCGTCTGCATCTGGGTTTATGTATGTGGAGAATAAGGTAAGATTGGCTAATCATCACTTAAGAGGTGGTGAATGTGAAATACTGTGCCTGCGTGGGTATCTATGTGTGTACGGAACACATACAATGCTATATTATTCCATGTCACAAAGCATGGAAAATACAGCCAAGAGAGAGCTCATATTGACCAAGTTCATGCATAAAATTTTGAGGTATTTTTTAATATATCTTATTATGTTTGTTCTCCTATTTGCACTTCATTTCAGAGCTTATGTGCTGGAACTTTAGGAGCAAGCAGAAGTGTGGAATGACTCACCAAATGACATTTTGTAAACGCTCCTACTCAGAGAAAGGTTAAACCCGTTAAAAGTATATATGAAAAAGAGAATCATTCAAGTTACTCAATATTAGGTTTTTTTACATTATAACAGTCTCAAGAGATGATGCTGCTCTGTACCATACTGCAGATACCTAATCTATTTCAACAGAGAAATTAGTGTTTGTTAGTATGAAACTGATGGAGGTAAATTCTGTTGTCCAAACTTCTCATTAAAAGATATTCTAAACTGATGAAAAATTCTGAGCTGCATCTTCTGAAATAAATACCTGACATTTTTATGTTCGTTTTGTTCCTGGGTTCATAGCTGTTTTCTTGTTCTAGATACTGTGCTCTGAAACTGAGGATGTGAAACATCTGTCCCATTTGTTTGAATTCCATGGATGAGTGAACACTTGGTTTAGTCCTGGTGTCCTGGAACTAGTATACTAGATGTTTATGAAAGTGTTTCTTTTGCCAGCCTTGTAGATGTAGACAAGTGAATCAAGGAAAATAAGCCTAGAATTCAAATAATTGTTTCTGTAAATTGGTTTATCTAATACCTTGCTGTTTGTCAGGTATGGACAATACCTTGAGTGATGCAGAAGGGAGAGAAGACGGGTTTCAATGTTTTGGGGACAGACGGCAAAAAATTTGAGCACATAATTTTCATTTTAAGTTCTGTATCACTAGTGTGGTTTTGCACAAGGGCTAGACTCCACCTCCTCATACTTAGTTTAGAATAAGAGGGCTAGGTAGTAACAATGGGCATAGGAATATAACTTGCAGCATCAGTTTGGAGATTTTGACATCAGCTCTTAACAATTAAAATAGAGGTATTTTTACCCATTTTTACCTATTTGTGCAAGTGTATGGGTGTAATTTGATTGTTGGCTACTAAACTCTGCTATGTATTAACAAAATGAGTTTATTCACTTATCTCTGAGTCTCCTTATCTGTGTCTTGACTGTTGAAGCAAGGCCAGTACTTTGGTGTCGTTAGTAATCTCACATCACTCCCCACAAATCTTGCATTAAAATGATAGATGACTGGTTTTGAAACATGCACTAGGGTCACATGTCTACTTATTGCAACTGTATTCTTCAGGCCTGACATTTTGCTATTTGATAGAAGGTGAAATTTCTAAGGACCAGCAGAAATCTGCACTTGAGACCTTCAATTCACTTCAAGGCTGTGATGACATTTATCCATCTCTCTCAAGGGTTACTCCACAACCCAAGATAATTACATGGTCTAACTAGTTTTTATCATTCTAATTGATTAAGTACTTGTTTGGCATTTAATCTGCCTGACTTCTGCTAGCGTTTCTTGCACTGTAACAGTAACAAACCTAATCTGAAGCACACTGAATGGGACTGGTATTAGAAGTTTTCTGGAATGCTTTCAGCCTTGTCCTTCTCATGTTTTTCTCAGTGATGAAAAATACGGATTAGTAGTAGCCAAATGTATCTATTGAGAGTTTACCAACTCTCCATGTTTTTTAAATGGTGTAACCAGGTTTTGAAAATAATGCTCTTTTAAATCACCATTTCAGCCACTCTTTCCTAGAGTGATGGTTGTGCCTACGACAAAATTCTATAAACAAGCAGAATATTCGAGTTTTATTCTACAAAGCTGAGAAACTTCATGTTGGGAATCAGGACCTAGAATTGGTGCATTCCTTCTACCCACGTTGTAAGAATGATAACTTTAAATTCTTTTTAGAATTTGGCTTGATGAAATCAGCTATTATTTGCCAAACACGATTAATTTAATTCTTTTAGAACTCAATTTCACTAGCCTCTGGATGCACCCTGAATACCTGTTCTTGTGATGTCCATCCCTTCTTTTCTCAAGCATGCAGGCAATCTTCTCAGTTCAAGGCTTACTAGGTTTCTCAAGTCTCCAAA